GTTTTACAGATGCATTCTCTTCTGTTTCCCTGGAGAAGTTGTAACTAATTTCTTTTCTTTCTTTCTTTTTTTTTTTTTTTTTTTAATTTTCTGTATTGTCTCTGTATCTTCAGAGTTCTCTTTGTCTCTGTGTTTCAGGCTTGGTTTCCTATGTTGAAGACTTGCATGAAGTGTCTGGAGATTCTCAGGTTTTTGTTCACAGTCAATGGCTGATGGGAAGCTCCTCTGTCTGAGCAGAGCTTGCTTCCCTGCTGGGCAGCTTTGAATGAAGAGGGCATGGCTGGGGTCAGCATCTGTTGTTCCTTTCTCTGGGGCTATTCAGTTTATCAAAGAATACCCCAGAGGCACCTGGGTGGCTCAGTCAGTTAAGCATCTGACTCTTGATTTTGGCTCAGGTCATGATCTCAGGGTTGTGAGATCAAGCCCTGTGTTGGGCTCCGTGCTGGGCATGGAGCTGGCTTGAGATTATCTCTCCCTCTCTCTCTTCCCACCCCCCTCCATGCCTGCTCTCTTGTGCATGCTTCTCTCAAAGTAAATAAATTAATAAATAAAAAGAACACCACAGTCTTCTATATGGCTACGAGCCTCCAGAAGCAGGGCAGACAAAGGAGGCTTAGGCAATGGTAAAGGCTGAGTCCCAAGTGTTCAGTGTGTAGAATTTTCCCTAATCTTCCTCTTTTTAGCTTAATCCACCCTCAGTCTCCGCCATGCTGCCTGTCCTGGGTCTGCTGAAAGGCCTGAAAGGTTCTGTTTAATTTTTCCACAGACAACTCCCTAACTGGTCTTCCTTCTTTTACCCTCTTCTCAAATCTGTTTTCAACTTAGACCTGGAGTAATCCTGTCAAGATGTGGGTCAGATCTGGTCTCCTCTCAAAATTCTCCAATGCTTTTCCATCTCAATAAAGTTAAAAACCAAGGTCCTCATAATTGCCTAGAAAGGCCCCCTGCCCTCCATGCTTGCTTCTTGGAATTTGTTTGTCCTATGACCCTCCCATTCTTTCTCACTCCACTCCAGCCATACTGGCTTCCACACTGGCTTTAGAACACACTAGCTGGGGCGCCTGGGTGGCTCAGTGGGTTAAGCTTCTGCCATCGGCTCAGGTTATGATCTCAGGGTCCCGGGATCGAGCCCCGCATAGGGCTCTCTGCTCGGCAGGGAGCCTGCTTCCTCCTCTCTCTCTCTCTCTGCCTGCCTCTCCGCCTGCTTGTGATCTCTCTCTGTCAAATAAATAAATAAAATTTTTACCAAAAAAATAGAACACATCAGCTGGTCTCCTGCCATAAACCTTTGCACCTACTGCTCTGCTTACCTGGACTGCTCTTTTCCCAGGTATCTACGCGGCTTGCTCCCACACACCTTCCCGTCTTTACTCAAACGTTTCTTCTTAATACAGTCTTCTCTGGCTACCTCAACTAAACTCCCCATCCCCTGACATACATGCTTTATCTCCTTTTCTTGCTTTATTTTTTCCCTTAAGTATGATCCCCAAATGATATACAATAATATATATTTCACTTCTCTATATAGTTGGTTTACCATCTGTCATCCACTAGGAAGTCAGGTCCATGAAAGCAGGGAGTCACTGCTCAACTCAAACAAGGCCTGGCATTTGTGGGTGTCCCGATTGGGTGCTCTGGTTGGGTGGAGGCTGGCAAGATGGATGGTGAAAGAATTTACCGAAGGTAGAATAAAAGAGATAAAAGCGATGGACAGGACAGCAAAGGACTGTCTGCTATGAGGCAGTGGTGAGAGGCCACAGTTACAGGGCAGAGTGAGGAGGCAAGGAACTACGGAATTGTCCCTTTATTTAAATTTTAGGACCTGTGCCTGTTTGTAATTGGTCAGTTAGGGCCTATGGCTATTTCAAGCCAGGTCATTTAATGAGCCTGTTTGCATTTGGCTCAGTGATCGCTGCAGGCCCCCTTTGCCTTGTTCTACAGCATTTAATAAATTAATGTTGAAATAAATAAATAAGAATGGATAAATGAATTGATCCTGAAGTCTTCTGTTGGTTTTTTCTTTTAAATTAGTAAAAAAGCAACCCTATAAAATGTAAACAGCAGTTTTTCCCTCTGCTAAACTTTTTTTTTTTTAAATTGGTAACAAGTGAGGTTGCTGGGTGCTTGGGTGGCTCCGTTAGTTAAGCGTCTGCCTTTGGCTGAGGTCATGATCTCAGGGTCCTGGGATCGAGCCCCTCATTGGGCTCCCCGCTCAGCAGAGAACCTGCTTCTCCCTCTCCACCACACTCGTGCCCTCTCTTGCTACCTCTGTTGCTATCTCTTTTTCTCTCAGATAAATAAATAAAATCTTAAAAAACAAAACAAAACAAAAAAACAAGTGAGGTTGCTGATATTTCTGAGAAAGCTTTCATTATGTGTGTGTGTGTTCCATCATTAAAGGTAGTTCATTAAGAATTCCTTGGTAGACAAATAAATGTCTTAGGGCTGTTAATTTGGATTTCATGAAAGAAATAGAATCAGGATTAGAAATTAGCTTGTTAACTTGCAAATTGTAAGAACACATAAGCAATCAAAAGAAGAACATTAGTTCTATAATCACTGATATTACTAATTGCTTTTAATGTTTAAAAGGATGCCATTAAGGCTAAATGGCAAGAGATTTCCCTGTAGAATCCAATCAGCTAACCCCATTTTGAGGAGTCTTTCTTGGTGTTCAAACTAATGATCTTAAGTGCTCCATCAGAAACATGCCATAATTATTTTGGTTCAAAATGTGGATGCATTCAAGCTACTCATGAAATATACTACCATATTTGGGGGAAAAGGCTTTCTTGAACTATACATTGTTTTTTAATGCTTTTTAAATGAGAAGCTGTATTTTCAGGTGGGTATTTCATAATCATCTTCCCCATTCACACAAATTGAACCATTTACTAAGCAAGCCCCAAATAAGTACTTGATGAGGACCATTTTCCGTCAAATCAGCTGAGACTGTCCATCATTAGCACTCACTACAGTAATGACCGAAGATTGCCTGCAGCCGTTAATAAAGTCTTCCACCACAGGGTATGGTGAGAAAGTGACCACAGTGCTAAGGAAATCCAAATGAAATCACTAACCTGCTTTCAGCTTATTGAGCTTAAAGTCTAATTTAAATTCATTTTAGAACAGTAATTCCATTACATTTGAATTCAACTCAAGTGGACTAGAAGTAGATGTTCTGTTTCTCCAAAATAAAGGGATAGTTCAAAAATCTTGGGATCGTTTGGTTGGCTGTGAAGAAATGATGATGCAGTGGTTTTAGTTTAAAAATGGCAAAACAGTAGACAGTAATGTTATAATTCTTCTTTTTAAAACTGCCAGTGTTAGGGGGCGCCTGGGTGGCTCAGTGGGTTAAAGCCTCTGCCTTCGGCTCAGGTCATGATCCCAGGGTCCTGGAATCGAGCCCCGAGTCGGGCTCTCTGCTCAGCAGGGAGCCTGCCTTCACCTCTCTACCTGCCTCTCTGCCTACTTGTGATCTCCGTCTGTCAAATAAATAAAATCTTAAAAAAAAAAAAAAAACCTGCCAGTGTTAGGAAAAAAAAATGCAATCTAAAACTATGTCATGTCTCTAAGGTCATTTTATCAAAGAAATGATAAAGACCAATCCAATGCTTTTACTACTTAATTCTCTCTATGTAACTTGCCAGATAATGACAAAATTTCTTCCCTGCCTTTTTAAAAATTCACATTCAATTAATTAACATATAATATATTACTGGTTTCAAGGGTACGGGTCTGTGATTTATCAGTCTTATATAAGTCTCTCCCCCATTTGTTTATTTATTTATTTATGATTTTATTTATTTATTTGACACAGAGAGAGAGAGATCACAAGTAGGCAGAGAGAGAGGGGGAAGCAGGCTCCCTGCTGAGCAGAGAACCCAATGCGGGGCTCCATCCCAGGACCCTGAAAGACCATGACCTCAGCCGAAGGCAGAGGCTCAACCCACTAAGCCACCCAGGTGACCCTGAGCTTTATTGGAAATGCCACCTTCCTCATCTTCTCTCTATTAGCAATGAGAATGGCTATCGTTAATTCTGGTCATGCATATTAATGAAAGCAGGAGGGCAGGGTTAACCCATGTTAAATAAATAAGTCATTCCATATGTGATTCTCTCATTTTCAAAGGATTACATGGTCATAAGGGACCGTTCATACTCTCCTGATGTCAATCACAATTAAGCAATCTTTGACGGTCCAGCAAGCGAGTCAGAATCTTGTAAGGATATTGCTTGAGTTTTCCAATTGCTGTCTGTAAAGTATCTGCAGGTTGGGTTCCGGGGGAGAATAGAGAATAGGAGAGGGTCCCTCAGATAATATTGCTTACAGCAACCCGCCCTTAATCTGTGTTTTCTCTTTCCACAGCTCCTGTTACCCATGGTCAGGAAGCAGATGGTCTTCCTTCAGCGGAATCATCAGAAGGTCAGTAGTGGCATAACGCCATGGTTCATTCCCCTCCCTTCATCTCCTCATGCAGGTTTTGTCATTGTTCATCATCACAAGAAGAAGAGCGAGTATGGTGCAGTAAGATATTTTGAGAGAGAGACCACATTCACCAATTTTTATTATAGTATACTGTCATAAGTATTCTAGACTACTATTTATTATTGTTAATCTCTTACCGTGCCCATTTATAAGTTAAACTCTCATAAGTATGCTTTTATAGGAAAAAAAAAAAACCCCACAGTATATGTAGGGTTTGGTCCTATCTGCAGTTTCAGGCATCCACTGGGGATCTTGGAACATATCCCCCATGCATAAGGGGAGACTACTGTGCTTAGGTCAAAGACAACCTATGACATCAGAAAAGTTCTTGAACTCTGTGCAAATCATGGAGCAAATGGACATAAGGGTAGGTGGCTTATGACAGTGCTCCTGGTCATCACATAGCTCAGGCCAGTTATTTGATGAAAAAAGTAGAGCAAGCTGTGAGCAATATAGCACTTAGGGGTGAGTAGACGTGGACAAGTGGAAGGGAACACAAACCACACTCTACCTGTCTTTCTGGCTCTCAGTGCTTCAAGTATGTCAGCAGCAGCCATCTCTCCCAGGACATTGTTTCTGAGGTCAATTTCCCGTAAGTGAGCAGAGTATGTGATCAGGCTGGCCAAAGAAAATGACAAATCAAAATGGCATTTTGCCAAGCACAGTTACTCAAAGAAACTCAGTCCACTTACTTTGGAGTCTGATCTCTTTTCTTAGGTCCTCAACACTCTCCTTGATGCCCCTTCCAACGATGATACACTGACCCAATTTGAAACTGAATGTAGGCTTTTCCAATTAATCTCTCTAGTTTGGACACCTCTCTTAAGTCAATTGGTGGGATAAAGACTTTAAGTTGCCTTACATCTTCCATTCATTTATTTATTCAGAAGATATGGTGTGGTATTGCGCAGGGCTTCCCACTCTTTGTGGATTTTGCACACCAGTAAAATGTCAAAAAGCTTGGGGGGACTGGCCTGACAACTTTTAGTACATCAAACAAATAACAATTCTCACCTAGCAACACTTAAAAGAACAAATATTTTTACACAAAATTAGAAAGGGCATAGTCTCAGAATAAAGGATAGCTTTTAAAACTAAGTAAGCTTAGCTTTATGAAAAATGAACCCTCCATCTATCTTTTTTTCCTAATCTCTTTGAGGATTATTAAAAATTCCTTCATGCTCTAGCACCAGCCTGCCAACTGGTCTTAGAGAATTTCTGGCATCATGAGGAGACATGGAATCAGGGTGAAGGCCTGGGCTCCTGGTCAGCTTCTACCTCCTGTCAACCTTGTAATCATGGGCAGGCCATGTGCCCTCTTGGGTCCCATCTTCCTCATCTGTAATATTGGGCCACAAACCGGCTCTTTTACAGATGTCATAAGGTTGTGGTAAAAACAGAATGAAACAATTCTTATGAAAGTATCTTGCAAAGTGCAGTACCAGTGATGTTATTATATTGAGTGCGCACTTACTAAATGCATATGACCTACCATTGCAGAGATTAAAGGAATTTAATACATTGCCTCTGCTCTAAAAGAAATTATCATATGACTTTCAATAAAACAATTTTGAGTTTACCATGCGCTGGGAATGTGAAATTTCAGTTAAGATCAGTAATAAATACAAGGTCATTCTCCCTGTACACACTGTCTATTGATTCAGCAGCTAGCATTCAAGGGTGCGGTTCAATGGTTCTGCCAGACTCTCCCTCTCAAAGGTCTTGCGCCCAAGGAAATAGCCTGTCTAATCAGAACTTGCCTAGCTTCGGCTTCCTGAATTGTCTGCCTGTGTCCTATTCCTTCAGATAAGATGGGTGAAAGTAGGAACGTTTCAGGAGGAAGCAGGGGTTCTAGAAGGAGAAGGGAGAGTGTTGAAGAACAACTGCACAACTCAACAATTCTACATCTGATTTCGGAGGCCATGGATTTCATCACTAGACCACACAGCCTCACATGAGCTAAGGTTTGATGGAGCATTCATTGTGCATCAGATATGATCAGGGTCACCCACATGTGTAAGCACTTGTGCTCAGCACTGAGGGGGCCTCCAACGGTGTGAGTGGGGCTGAAATCTGCCAAGCTCTGTTTGCCAAGTTCTGGGACCTGAAGCATAGACTAGAAAAGGTTACCTCCTCTGACTCAATGGCCAGAGGTGGTACCTCTTTTAATTTGTCTAGCTGGAGGGGCTTTTTTTCTAATTTGTATAAAGGTGCTAGCTGGAGCCCTCTGCACTGTATATAGCACGTTACACACCTGATCTAATTTAACCCTATAACACTCTTTTGATTATTGTCCCCATTTTTGCAAATGAGGAAACTGAGTTAAGAGAAGTTACTGTAAATATATATATATAGGTTAAAAATAAAAGGACAGAAACAGATATACCATGCTGATGTTAATCCAAAGAAAGTTCAAGTAGCTATATTAATATTCATCAAAGTATATTTCAGAGAAGGGAATATTACCAGAGAGAAGAGAAAAATATTACTGGCGATTTCATAATGATAGTAAGGGTCAATTCTTCAAGTGATTTAATCTTAAATGTTTTGCACCTAACAACAGATCTTACAAATATATGAAGCAGGGGTGCCTGGGTGGGTTAGCCTGTTAAACATCTGCCTTCAGCTCAGGTCATGGTCCCGGGGTCCTGGGATCGAGCCCTGTGTTGGCCCCGCTGCTCAGCAGGGACTCTGCTTCTGCTTCTCCCTCTCCCTCTGTGTCCACTCGCTCTCTCTCTCAAATAAATTAATAAAATCTTAAAAAAAAAGGTAAATCACTTAAAATATATATATATATGATATATATATACACATACAGCAAGGGACACCCAGGAAGCTCAGTCGGTTGAGCATCCGATCTTGATTTTGGTTCAGGTCATGATCTAGGGGTCCTGGGATCGAACCCCACATTGGGTTCCACACTCAGGGAGTCTGCTTGAGATTCTTTCTATCCCTCTTCCCCTCCCCCCCCACTCTCTTTCTGTCTAAAAAATAAATAAAATAAATCTTTTTAAAAAATACATGAAGCAAAACTGATTAAACTGCAAGGAGATACAAAGTCACAATTTTCCCTCTATCAATAATTGATAGAGCAAGTAAACAGAAAATTTGTAAAGATATAGAAAACTATAACAATGCTGCCAACCAACTGGACCTAACTGACATTTCTTAACATTCTATCCAAATATAGCAGAATATACATTCTTCAAGTGCACGTGGAACATTGACCAAGATAGATCATAATCTGGTCCATAAAACAAGTATATTCTCTAATCACAGCATAATTTCATTAGAAATCAACCAGAGAAAAATGTGTGAAAAATTTACAAATATGTGGAAACTAAATAGCACTCTTCTAAATAACCCATAGGTCAAAGAAATCAAAAGGGAAATTAGAAAATAGTTTGAATTGAATAACAATAAAAATACAGCATATCATGGGACATCTAGGTGGCTCAGTAGGTTAAGCAGCTGTCTTCAGGTCATGATCCCAGGGTCCTGGGATGGAGTCCTGAATCCAGCTCCTTGCTCAACAGGGAGCCTGCTTCTCCCTCTGCCTCCTGCTCCCCCTGCTTGTGCTCTCTCTCTCTCTGACAAATAAATAAATAAAATCTTTAAAAAACATACAACATATCAAAATTTGCAGGATGCAATGAAAAAGTGCTTAGTGTTACTATAACCATTTACATTAGAAAAACAAAAAGTTAAAATCAATAACTAAGCTTCTACCTTAATAAACTAGAAAGAGGGGCGCCTGGGTGGCTCAGTGGGTTAAGCCGCTGCCTTCGGCTCAGGTCATGATCTCGGGGTCCTGGGATCGAGTCCCGCATCGGGCTCTCTGCTCAGCAGGGAGCCTGCTTCCCTCTCTCTCTCTCTCTGCCTGCCTCTGTGTCTACTTGTGATCTCTCTCTGTCAAATAAATAAATAAAATCTTTAAAAAAAAAAAAATAAACTAGAAAGAGAAGAGCATATTAAACCCAAGGTAAACAGAATAAAGGAAACAATAAAAATAAGGGTATAAATCAGTGAAATAGAAAAAATTAAAATATTAGAGGTAACCAAAAGCAAGTTCTTTGAGAGGATCAATAAAATTGATAAAATTCTAATCATATTGATTGGGGAAAAAGAGAGAAAACAAATTATTAATATTAAGCACAAAAGAGGAGACATCACTACAGAGCCTCCAGATAGGAAAAGGATGAGAAGGAAATATTATGAACAACTCTAAGACAATAAATTTGAAAACTTAGCCAAAATGAACAAATTGCTTGAAAGATATAAACTAACAAAGCTTAACACCCCCCTCCCAAAATAACCAGAATAGACTTCTATCTATTAAAGAAAGTGAATTTGTAGTTAAAAAATCTTCCCATAAAGAAAACTCCAGATCCAGGTGTCTTCGCTGGTGAATTCTACCAAATATTTAAAGGTAAAATAATACCAATTCTACACAAGTTCTTTCATAAAATAGAAAAGTAGGAACACTTCCTAACTCATTCTGTAAGGCCAAAATCACCTCGATCCCAATACCAAAGGAAAACATTACAAGAAAATAAAAGTAGGGACAAAAATCCCTGATGAACACAGATGTGAAAACCCTTAACAAAATGTTAGCAATATACTAAAAGGATAATATAGCAGCAGCGTATTAAATCTAGCAATATATTAAAAGGGTAACAAAATGAAGTTTAGTAATAGAACTATTATAAAAATAGCAGCCAAGCTATCCAAGTTGGAAATTCCCAACTTTCCGAAACAAATATATTAGGAAAAGAATCTTTTTCTTCTAAAATAATAAATAGCCATCGATCAAGCTCTCAACTCTTGAATCTGAGCTATATTCTGTTGCCCTTGATTGCCTGAGGTGCTCTCAGTACTGATGTCTAAGATGGAAAACCTGGAGCCCTCTACAGAGTAAGCTTTCCTACAGAGCTGCAAATGCTTACTTGTTGTTTGGCCCACTGGGTGTGGGATTCAGGAGAGCTGGACAAAGAGATGTCCAAGGTTGCAGCATAAATATGGCAAGGAAACATTTTGTTTTCCAGCAGCTTTTGAGAAAAGCTCTGTTTTTCTGCCTAAGTAGCTTGAGACAACTTTGTGATCAAGAACTAAACAGTGTTGACTCTTGAGTGGACTGCCTTTCTTCCTTAGGTCACATAGCTGACTTCACGGAAGAAAAATCTGGAGGTCATAACTCCTGCCTTTCCTCAGTTGCCAGCTTCATTAAATGGGGCTTCTAGTGAGGTCTTTGGAGTCCCTCTGTGGCTCATGTACAACTGTGTGCCATGCCATTTTTATGATCTCAGGCCTTCCCTTAAGATCATGTACCAAGATCACAGTGGGTCACTGCTTCCCTCTCGAAGCTAAAAACCTCACTTGGCACTGTTATTAAACTGCAGTTAAGTCATTTTCCCTACAATTCAACCCAAGCACCTAGTTTCAGAAGGTGAACAAATAAAACCTCTTTTCTACTCACCATGTTAAAATTTGAGTGAATTCTAACAAGCCATTTTCTCCTTCTTTTCCTCTTCTGTCTATGCCATTATCTGCCAGATACAACTTCACTAACCAAGGACCAGCTTCAGTCAAATCTTTAATTTTTTTCTTGATTCCTATAAGAAAATAATAGTTTTTATTATTTTTAGACAATAGCTCCCCCATTTACCACCACTTAAGTTAGTTTTATTTTTTGGGATTGTACTTCTTTGACTTTTGTGAGTAGGTGCATTTGGCAATAAAGTGAAGGAGATACATGCAATCTAAGGAGTCCTTTAAAAAAAATACTTTAGGGCGCCTGGGTGGCTCAGTGGGTTGAGCCGCTGCCTTCGGCTCGGGTCATGATCTCAGGGTCCTGGGATCGAGTCCCGCATCGGGCTCTCTGCTCGGCAGGGAGTCTGCTTCTCTCTCTCTCTCTCTGTCTGCCAGATAAATAAATAAAATCTTTAAGACAAATTAAAAAATGAAAAAATACTTTATTCTTTATAATAGCAAGCCCCAAATTGCTCTGTATGAAAGGAAATCTCACTTAAGATTTAGATTGTTGCCTTTGCTTTGGCTAAAGAGGAAAACAAATGTCTTTAGAAATTTCCCGATAGAAGATAAATGAGTGGTCCACCAAACCTGGGGAAGTGATAGTCCTTATCCAGGGATTCCGCTCTTTAAAAGAGTCTGTGAAGTTGCCACATTTTTTGAGCTCTGGAAGGGCAAATTTGAAAGACAAAGAACCAGCTTGCCTTTGTAGATGTCCCTACCGAGGTCAGTGGTCCTGGAGTCTGACTCACCCCCATTGGTCCATTTAGCTTTCATAAAGTTCAGTGTCAGTGCTGTAGCATGGCATATGTACACATTTCATTTACACCAGCTCAAGTTTAGGAGTTTGGCAAAGAAAAAGACAGGAAGGGGATGGAGAAGGAGAAACAACCATGGACATAATGGCCAGCTCATCCACTCAGTAGGTGTGAGATGACAGATATGAATCTGGTCCCAAAGCCAGATGGCTTCCCAAAGGCCTCCAAGTATTCAAAGTTATATGCTTTGTAGGCAATATAACCCCGTAAACCCTAGCTGACAACTTCATCCGGAGCATAACTGACAAACAATGATCTGTTCCAAAGCTTCCAAAAAATTGCACGGGACTTAGAAACCATATCCCTAAATGTTTGTGTGGGCAGTTTAAGGGATTGTGAAGAATCACTGAGCTATATGCTAATTTTGCCTAAATAGGCTGACTTGGGAACCTAATCCCAAGGGGTGGACAGAACTTTTTTGTACTTGAATTCATTCAGCATTCAACATAGCTGTCTGAGTTCTGTTCTATGCCAGGCACTGTCCTAGGTGCTGGGAACCCAACAGGGAACAGAAGAAACAAAACTGTCCTTCTGAAGCAGACATGAAGTGAAAGCTAACTAGCGTGTAGGAAGAGCAAGAAGAGAGAAGTCAATGGTAACTAATGATGTAAGTTTTCAAGTCATGGAAGAGAGCTGACTTTTTAGGGAAAGGTGATAAATCTAGACTTTGGGCTATTCTAGTTTGCCAGTTTTTGTTTTTTGTTTTTTAAGTATGCTTTAAAAAGATATTCAACTGGTGTTTTTGGTTACAAATCTAATCTGCTGGATGGTTGAATAAAATAGACAGGACTTATTTTCCCTTTTTTTAAAAAAGATTATTTATTTATTTGACAGAAAGAGAGAGAGAGAGAGAACACAAGCAAGGGGAGCAGAAGAGGGAGAAGGGGGCTTCCTGCTGAGCAGGGAGCCCGATGTGGGGCTCAGTCCCAGAACTCTGGGATCATGACCTGAGCCAAAGGCAGACGCTTAACTGACTGGGCCAGCCAGGTGCCCCATGGGCTTATTTTCCTTCAAAACACATTAGGAGGGATGAAAACTAGCCCATCATTTAGTTTCACTGGGAATAAACCTAACTTGTCCAAATGTATTTGTCCTTACATCCAGGCATGGGAATGATGGCAAATGACAGCTGTTATGAATAATTTGACAGTGCTAATAGATTAGAACAGTATCTGGCACATTATGGGTATTTAATGACTGTTGAACAAATGAATGAATCCGTGAGTAACTGAGTACAGAATTTTGTGGAAACTTTTATCTCACTGTTCATTGTTTTTCCATATACAGTGTACCTAACAATGCCTTGAGACCATTCATGAACACAAACAGAATGTCTTTTCTATCTGTAAAATCTCTTTACAATATAAATGCCTTTGAAAAGTTACTGCTCAGAATGATTAATGATGTGGATACTGATTGCGCATGGCACTCGTTTCCTTTTGCCCCCCTTTCTGCCAGAAAGCAAAGGTGATGGAACATGAGACCAGTGGGGCCAAGGCCAAAGGCCAAATTCCTGGGCAGTGGCCAAGGTGTGCAAGGAGGACATGGTTTTTGCCAGTTTACCCCTGGCACCAACTTAGCCCACATGGCACAAACATGTGCCATTAGAGACAAAGGGAGCTTGTGGGTCTGTGATTGAACTGGTACCACTTGCATCCCCACAGGGAGAAACCACCCAAATCTCCCCCCAGCTGGTGGTAGTAAGGTTGCAACGTCATCTCTGCCCACGAAAAATAACCGGCTTGGAAAGTGCAAGTCCAAACCATCCTGCAGAATTCAGCGAGTCACAGCGCCCTGCTGGGCACTAGGAAGACTGATGCTGCTTAGTACAGGGACTTCCTGCTTTAGACCTTCAGCCAAAATTCAAACAGAACCAAATTATTTTCTCTGAATGGAAAACAAATTTCTCAGAGTAAGGGTGAGTCCATGCTCAGGCCCTGGTAATACTTGACCCACCCCCAGCTGTATACACCAACCTATTTCTACCTAATCTTCACATTTCTTCAAAACAAAAACAAGCTCACTGACAATGCCTACTTTTTTTTTCTTTTAAGAGACGGGGAGAGAGACAGGGGGAGGAACAGAGAGAAGCTTAAGTGGTCTCCACACCCAGAGCAGAGCCCCCCCGCCCCCCCGGGCCCAGCCTGGTGATCTATTTCACAACCCTGAGATCAGGACCTGAGCCCAAATCAAGAGGCCTACACTTAACTGAGCCACCCAGGAACCCGAACAGTGACTACTTTCACTTACCTGCTTCTGTCTCCAAGAACTTAGTGGTGGCCTAGCAACACCAGCTGTGCCTGAGAGGCAAGATGGTGTAGAGAAAGCAGAATCTCTGGGTGTAAAACCTCTCTCTAAAAAATGCTGTTTGGCTCCCCAGAAAGTCACTGAACTTCTCTGAACCCAAATTTCCACAGTGCTGTAATAGAGATCATAAGACTCCTTTCCTAGATGCACTACGAAGAGCCACCAGGAAGTGCAGTGAAATAATTGTTGTGGAGGAAATTAGTACACAATAAATATCATTGTCTGTCTTCAGCTTCATGTCTGGATATTGTAAGTCACCGAAACACTGGAATGAGAGCACGCTGGGGAAGAACCTGCTTGTGTAAGCTATCTCCCCTTGCACTACTGTCTCCCAAGGATCGGATACAGGTTTCTGACAACTGTACACCTCCCACAGAAGCCACTCCACAGATCCATGTGGACTCGCCCAACCTTGTGTTTCTTCCCATTTTCTCTTTGGTTCATTGCCAAGATCCGCCAACGGTCCCTAACTTCAGGATCTTTCTTGCTACCCTCACTGAACTGGCTATCCGGACCTGTCAAATTTCCCCCCTTAAATATAGCCGGAACTGGACTATCTTTCTATCACTGTCCTCTGCATTCTGCCTTTTCTCTTCTCTTATCTGAGCTACTGTAGTAGCCTCCACACGGGTCTCCCATCATCCAGATGTCCCTCTTGCTAAGACACATTCTGCAATACTGTCCAAGGTTCTTTTCAAAAATCCCATTCTCATCATGTCACTGTCTTGCTTCAGAGGAATCGTGGCTCCCACTTTATGCACAGGCGAAAGCCTAACTCAACAACATTCATGGGTTTGGGTCATGTGGGTCCCCTGGCCTTTTCAGGTACACCTCTGCCTCTCTCCCAGCGACCACTCTGCAGTGAATGTCAAACTCCCCCCACACTGAACACTCTGGGCACTTGCAGTCCCCGAGCCTTCGCTCATGTGGTCCCCTTTGCCTAGAATGCCCTCCCTTTCTCAGCTGAGGAACCTCTTCTCAGTCCTTCCAGAGAGAGCTCTATTTCCTGTGTGGGCCAGCACTCAAAATTCGAGTGTAAATTTTTGTGGAACCAGAGGCTCCCCTGGGGAGGTTCCTCCTCTTTTCCCTCATTTTCTGGCCTGTCCTGGAATCACAGAACAGGTGGGAATCACACATTCTGTTGGACATCAGCTTATTTTGCTTAAGGACTACTCAAATGTTCACCTGCGGTAGGACCCTCTTAATAAGGCCGATTTTTAAAAAATCTTTATCAGGGCGCCTGGGTGGCTCAGTCAGTTAAGCGTCTGCCTTCGGCTCAGGTCAGGATTCCGGGGTCCTAGGATCAAGTCTTCCAGCTCTCTGCCCAGTGGGGAGTCTGCTTCTCCCTCTCCTTCTGCCCCTCCCCACTGCTCACGCTTGCACACATGCGCTCTCTCTCAAATAAATACTCAAAAATAAAAACACTTGTTCAAAATAGCTTCTTTCCATCAACAAGGAACATGTGTGATTTCCTGTGTAATTACAAGACATTTATAAACCAGAACAGAAACTCTGTTAGCTTGATTGCAGGACTTAAGGAAGCGAAGTGTAATTAGCATTGGATGATTCACACCTTGGACCTTGGAACCTGTCCACAAAGGTTTCCACTGTTTGGCTATCACTCCAGGACAAAATCCCCAAGTAAAATACTCTTAGGATTATAATCGGTAACTTCCTGACTTGGAACTAATAAAGTTTTGAAGATTACATCTTGTCTTTTGAACTGGACCCTTGCATTCCTTAATGCCATAGTATTCCTATGGACCATGGCTATGTTATAAACAATTAATGCCTCATTTGGGGAAGTGAATTTGGCACTCGGGAGGCACTGGTACTGTAGCAAAGGTCTGATTTATCCCAGGCTTGTGGACTGACCATTTTATGGCTGCATCTTGTTCCCAGGGTATGTCTAAATCACATACTGGCCTTCCCAGTCCTAAATCCTTGAGAATTAAGAC